AACCTACTAGTAATTCTAAAATCCTTCCCTCTACACCTCAGCGATTATTGACGCTGTTGCTATTTTAGAGCAAGATCCGACGGCTGGAAGTTGACGCCAGACAGATTCAGGGTGGAAAGACGTACGTTTTGAACAGTGAGGGGCATTGGCCATTGGGGCAATTTACCAAGGGCTGTGGTGGGTCACGGGCAGCTTTTAAATCAACATTGGATGTTTTTTTTTGAAAGGGCTGCTCTGGTTCACACAGATTAAACCAGGGCCTGTGTTATGCAGGTGGTCAGGCGAGAGGATGTTGGCCTGAGAATTCGTTAATGAAATTAGCGAGCAATGATTTTTACTCATTGCTAACAAGTCTCTGCTCTTTTAAATTAACTCTACGTATAATAATCAGTGGTAGTTAACAGTCTTGCGGACGGACTGCTTTCTTCCTTCTCACCACAGAAGTGTGCTGTATAAATATGTTACAGTTCACGTACTCATGTGTTATGGTGCGTGTGTGTGTGTGCACACATAGAAAATCTAAGAGATGAGTGAAAATCAGAATTACCATTATGCAGGAAATTCTGATATTTTGCCTTTTTTTTTTAATTTGAATCAGGTTGAAAAAAATCAAAAAAATTTTTGAAGATGGTTGTGGGGTCTAGTGGTTAGAGCGGGGGTTCTGGGTGCCAGGACTCCTGGGTTCTATCCCCAGCTATGGGAGAGGTGTGTGTGTGTGTGTGTGGGGAGGGGGGGGTCTCATAGATTAGAGCAGGGGGGGCTGGGAGTCAGGACTCCTGGATTCTAGGCCTGGCTCTGGGCAGGGAGTAAGGTCTAGTGGTTAGAGCCGGAGGGCTGGGAGCCTGGACTCCTGGGTTCTAGTCCTGGCTCCGGGAGGGGAGTGGGGTCTAGTGGTTAGCACATGGTGGTGTACCCTCACAGCTCACCCCTAACCATCCGTCTGTCCCCGCAGCCATGTGGGAGCACCATCCCGAGACAGCAGAGATCGCCGCCCTGCAGGAGGCTCACCGCAAGCACAGCCGGCGCAGTTCAGAGGAGGAGGAGGAGGAGGAAGAGGAGATCTCCAGCTCTGGGGAGGAGGAGGATGAGGAGAAGGACCGTGATGCTGATGAGGAAGAGGAGGAGGAGGAGGAAGAACCAGCTGCCTCCAATGCGGGAGGGAGCAGCACCCCAGCCCAGGCCCCACCCAGGAGGGTGCTGAAGGGGAAACTCTCAAGCCGGAACTTGTTTGCTTTGCTGGGGGAGGACGAATGTTAGTGGCTCCCCCTGCTGGACAGATTGAGAAAGGGGGGGAGGAGCACCTGGCTACAGGCTCCGCCCCCTGCCTTGGCTGAGCTCCACCCACCCATTCTCCATGTTCATTCCCATGCTCTATAGTCTCTGTATATGAATAAAGGTGATGTTTATTTCCAGACCCACTTCTGTCATTGGCCGGGACACTGGTCTCCCTCCCCAACCATTGCTCCATCTATCCCAGGATCTCCACCTCCCTCCTGCATCATACCAATGGGCTCATCTAGCCTAATATCCTGCCTCTTCAGATAAGACCCATGGGCCCACCTAGCCTTGGTATCCTGCCTTCCCTGATCAGATCCATGGGTCCATGTAGCTCAATATCCCAGCCTGGTCCTTCCTGCCCTGGCTCAGAGCAATGGTCTCTGCTCGGGCCTGTTCATTTTGGATCATTTCTGTTTATAAAAAAGGCTAGTTCCTTTTAGTCTTCAAACCTTGGTTTGCTGCAGAAGCATCCTGCTCCCCGTTTTCCTGTGGAACTCCCTGCCACAATATTCTCGCCCATACTGCTCATGCACCACGAAGCAGAGAGCCACTCCCAAGTTCAAGCAAGTGCTGGCTTTGCTGAAATATCTGCTCCAGAGGTGGAAGCAAGGACCGATCGCTGGGGCTCTGTTTGGGCAGCATTGTAACCCTTTTCCCCTCCTCGGGCAAACTGGTCACCTGGGACTGACCCCCCCGCCCCTTGTTCAAAATGCTCCGTTGGGAGTGCCTGAGCTTCTGGCAGCAGCCCAAAGCAGGGACACCAGAACGGGGGGCAGTGACCCCTCCACTTTTTACTGGCCCTAAGTGCGAGTGATGGGGGTGCCTCAGGGAGAAGGGGCAGAGTCAGGGTGGGGCCTCAGAGGGGAAGGGATGGTATGAGGGAGTGGGGCCATGGTTCAGGTGCCCACGGGCCCCCTTCTTTTAGGGATCTCCTGTCACCCCTGGCCCAAAGGCCGCATCCAAAGCACTCATAAATTTGCAACAGCTTTTTTTTTTAAATCAGCAAATCAACGCCGATGCCCGCGATTTGCAGAGGAGCTTGTGTCGTCCCCGCCAGCCGAAGAGGAATCGCTCTTTCGTCTGTTAGCTTTGTCCTCACCATTAACCTACGGAGAGAAGGCAGCCTTCAATGCCTCCCATGAATTACCTCTGGTCCTTGAGTTGCATGTCATTAGAACAGGCCTTGTAGTGATCGATCCAAGGAGCTCAGTCTGTGTAGCTTAAAAAAGAGATGGTTATGGGGGAGCTTGGTCACAGTCTCTTAAGTCTCTGCATGGGGAACAACTATTTTTATAATGGGCTTGTCAGTCCAGCAGAGATAGGCCTAACACGAGCCAATGGCTGGGAGTTGAAATTTTTAAATCAAGCCTGGGTGTTTTTCTAAAAGCTCTGCTCTAGGAATTATTTTGGGGAGTTTCTTTGGCCGGTGCTGTACAGGAAGTTGGATGAGATGGTCAGTGATCCTTTCTGGTCTTGAATCTAGGAATGTGTGGGTCGAGGGAGTGGAGGGGCAGCCAAATGTTTTGAACTATGTTTCTTCTCATAATGGTTCTGAGATGCAGCCACTTCTGGGGTGGGGCAGCTGGGGAAACAGTTATCATAGAATCATAGAATATCAGGGTTGAAAGGGACCTCAGGAGGTCATGTAGTCCAACCCCCTGCTCAAAGCAGGACCAATCCCCAACAGTTGCAGAATGACGTTGCATAGGCATCATTCATCCAGCCCTGAGATGCAAGTTGGGAGCTGGGTAACAGCCACACCGTGACACTGCACAGAGATACTGCTCATCCAGCGCTGAGATGCAGCAACTTCTGGGGTGGGGCAGTTGGGGAAACAGTTGCAGGATGATGTTGCATGGGCATCATTCATCCAGCCCTGAGGTGCAAGTTGGGAGCTGGGTAACAAACACACAGTGACGCTGCCCAGAGATACTGCTCATCCAGGGCGGAGATGCAGCCACTTCTGGGGTGGAGCAGCTGGAGGACAGTTGCATAGCAACACTGGGCAGGGATCACTCATCCAGCACGCAGATGCAGCCACTTTTGGGGTGGAAGGCAGCAGCTATTTACCTACCACTAAACGCTGACAATTTAGGACAAGAAGGGATGGGGGAATCCTCCTAAATCCAATGAAAACCACAGGATGAATTCCAGGGACGGCGATACATAATTGCCTCAGCTGGGATCCAGCCAATCCAATGCAGTCAATCCAGCCTTGCAAAAAAGGGAACCAGCCACAGATTATCTGAAATTAGGCAAAGTAAAAATGCCCCCAACTGAGCCTCCACCCCACTCCCTGCAGCAGAGCCCCCGCCTAGCGCTGCACTGGGGCATTGGGGTCAGTACTGACTGCCAGGGCAGAGCGCCCCCTGCTGGAGGGAGGGGGAATGACCAGCAGAGGGTCAGGGCTGTGCTGAGTCCCGCCTAGGGGCGGGAGAGCTGGGGGAACCCGAGGGGGCAGGTGCAGGAAGGGGTGTCGCCCCCCGCCCCATGCTGTGCCGCAGAGCCAGGAAAGCTGGGAAACTACATTTCCCAGAGGCCTTTGCTGCTGCAGCAGCTACGTCAGCTGGGGGCTGGGCTGGGCAGGAAGAGGCTGCAGCTGTTGGTGTCTCCATGTGACTGAGGTCCGGGGGAAACGGGGGAGGGGGCTGGGGGGGGAAATAAAAGGGGCTGGCAGGGTACAGCCAGGAAGGGGATCTAGGGGGTAAATAAGGGGGGCTGGAGGGGACTGGAGGAAGGGGGCTGTGAGGGGAGAGGGATCTGCGAGAGGGGGCTGGTAGGAGGGCAGGGGGGATCTGGGGAGGGGGCTGGCAGGGGAAGCGATAGGGGTTTGGGGGAAGGGGCTGCCAGGGGAGGAGAGGGGAGCTGGGGAGGGGGCTGGCAGGGGAGGGGAGAATAGGTCTGGAGGAGGGGACTGGCGGGGAGGGGATCAGGGGAGGGGAGAATAGGTCTGGAGGAGGGGATCTGGGGATGGGGCTGGCAGGGGAGGGGAGGGGAGAATCGGTCTGGAGGAGGGGACTGGCTGGGAGGGGATCTGGGGAGGGGGCTGGCAGGGGAGGGGAGAATAGATCCAGAGGAGGGGACTGGCAGAAGATGGGGATCTGGGGATGGGGCTGGCAGGGGAGGGGAGAATAGGTCTGGAGGAGGGGACTGGCGGGGAGGGGATCAGGGGAGGGGAGAATAGGTCTGGAGGAGGGGACTGGCAGGGGAGGGGAGCTGGGGAGGGGGCTGGCAGGGGAGGGGAGAATAGGTCTGGAGGAGGGGACTGCCAGGGGAGGGGGCTGGCAGGGGAGGGGAGAATAGGTCTGGAGGAGGGCACTGGCGGGGAGGGGATCAGGGGAGGGGAGAATAGGTCTGGAGGAGGGGACTGGCAGGGAGGGGATCTGGGGATGGGGCTGGCAGGGGAGGGGAGAATCGGTCTGGAGGAGGGGACTGGCTGGGAGGGGATCTGGGGAGGGGGCTGGCAGGGGAGGGGAGAATAGATTCAGAGGAGGGGACTGGCAGAAGACGGGGATCTGGGGATGGGGCTGGCAGGGGAGGGGAGAATCGGTCTGGAGGAGGGGACTGGCGGGGAGGGGATCTGGGGAATGGGTGGCAGGGGAAGAGATAGGAGTCTGGCGGAGGGGGCTGGGAGGGGAGGGGTATATATGGGCTGGAGATGAAGGAGGATTTTGGAAGGGATGGGGGTTTAACGAGGAGGTGGGGGATGTTCTGTTGGGGTGATCTGGGGGGAGCAGGTCTAGCCTTATAAGGGTGGGGGGAGCAAGAGGGCAGCAGACCCCTCCCCCCACAATACCAGAATGGGGCCCTGCTGCCCCTCCTGGAAGAATAATAAAGCCCAGAAGCCCCCTGTTTTTGGGGGACAGATCCCAGCTCCGTGTGTGGGGAGTCACTAGAAATGGGGTGGATTGTGAAAGCGCCCCCATCTGGGGTAATTGCTGGAGGCAGCATGGAGCCAGCTGGGGCAGGGGCAGCTAACAGCCCCTTAGGGGACTGGCTGCCCCTCCCTCAAGTATCTTCCCCTATTCCAGACCCACCCCCCACCACGATGTCAGCCCAGGTGAAGGATAAAGAGGCTTTCCAGAGGCTCAGCTTCCTCTACCAGGTGAGGTTGGCGCCCCCTAGTGCTGGGATCCCAGCAGGGATGGGGGTTACACCCCTAAGAGAGACCCTGGGAGCAATTCCCCCTAGCTCCAGGGCCGTGGGGGGGAGATTTCTGGGGCTCCCTCCAGGATTCCTGAATAGAGCATGGGGCAAAGAGGATTGGAGTATCTGCATGTGGGATGGGGGTTGGGGTTGGGGGGGATTGGAGGAAGATGAAATTGGGGCGACTGGGAGGGAGGGGGGATTGGTAGGGCAAAGGGGTCACGTGGAGCCGGGGAAGATGCGGGGGGGAGTGATATGGGACTGGGCGAGGGGAGGTTGGATGGAGATGAGGCTGGGGGAGAGGGAAATCGGTGGGAGGGGGGACTGGTAGGGGGAGATGGGGTTGGGGGATCAGTGGGACTGGGGGAGGAGGATTGGTGGGGCTGGGGGTAGCGACATGGGGCCAGGGGGAGGGGAGGTCGGTAGGATGACATGGGCGAGGGGGTAATGGGGGGGTGACGTGGGGCTGGCGGGAGATCAATGGGGAGGGGAGAGTGACAGGGGGCTGCGGGAGGGAGGGTTTGGGGGTGACATGGAGCAGGGGGAGATGTGGGGCTGTTTCCCTCACTCTGCATCTCTTTTTTTCTCCTCTGCCCACTCCTCAGGCGGCTCACTGTGTCCTCGCCCAGAACCCCGAGAACCAGGTGCTGGTGCGATTCTACTGCCATGCCCAGCGCAGCATCAGCCGCAGGCTCGTCCTGAGACAGTGAGTGTCGGGATACGGGGCCTTTCCCCTCTAGGGTGCGCCAGCTCCCATAGGGCCCTAGGGGGCGGGCACTGGGCCATGGGGCCTTTCCCCTCTAGGGGCTCATCTCCCCAGGCCCAGCCCCTGTTTGTGTTTTCCCCCTCAGGGACCCATCGGTGAAGAGAACCATCTGCAAATCCTGCTCCTCCCTCCTGGTCCCTGGCGTCAGCTCCACCGTGCGCCAGAGAAGTGAGTGCCGCCCCTTAGTGGGGAGGGATCAGTACTGCTGTGGGTGGTTGGGAGCCTGGACTCCTGGGTTCTATCCCCAGTTCTGGGAGGGGAGTGGGGCATAGTGGTTAGAGCGGGGGCGGGGAGCTGGGAGTCGGGACCCTGAGAGGGCGGTGGGCTCAGGTGGCAAAGCCTTTCCCCATGCATGCCTGTCTGTTCCTGGTCCCTGACTCCCTGCCCTTCTCTTCCCCCCTCCCCGCCACCCCCCAACCAGGACACCGCGGCCGGCGTTGGTCAGTTGTACGGTGTCTCTGCTGTGGCCAGACCAAGCGCTTCCCAAGCAACCCAGGGTACAAGCTGTGGGCGGAGCAGCCTGAGGCCCTGCTGGAGAACCAGCCCCAAGCCGGTGAGAGGGGACAGCATCCCAAGGGTTAACGGGGGCGGTGTGGGGCTGGAGCCCCTGAGGGGAGGAGTGGGGCATCTGGAGGCAAGGCTCAGCAGGGAGGATGGGGTGGGGGGGCTGCTGGGCCCTGGATTGTTTTGTCACTGTATGGGGAGGGGGCTGGATTGATCTGGAGGGGATTGGGAGGGATTAGTCACAGAGGGGTATGGATTGGGGTGGGGGAAGAGCCGGGATTGGTCTGGGGGGTGAAGCTCGCATCAGTGGGGGGTGGGGATTGGAGGGAGGAGAAGCTGGGGGGGTTGGTCAGAGCTGAGATTGGTGTGGGAGAAGGGGCTGGGATTGGACCGGGTGGGGGGACTTTGGGGAGGGGATCTGGGGGTGGGGGAGGAGTTGGGGTTGGCCTGTGGGGCAGGATAGCCATGGAGAGGGGATATCAGGTTCAAGAGGGGGAGGGGAGAATTTGGGGACAGGGGAGCAGTGAGAATTTCCTGCATCTCCATCTCGTCTCTTCCCCTCCAGACCAGAAACCTGCAGCCCCCCAGGATCCCCCAAAGGAGCCGTCAGCACAGAAGGCCAAAACTCCCAGTGTGGCCTTCGGTCTCGAGAGCCACCCCACTCCGCAGAGGACCGCAGAGGCCAGGACCCGGGTGGGGAAAGGGGGCCCAAGCAGGAGGTAACCCCCGGGGATGGCCGTGAGCAGGGGCCAGTGGCTTAGGGCCTGATCCCAGCTGGGGGCTAGTAAGGACAGGCCTGGAATAGGTTTTAGGAGACTCCGTTCGTGAGAGAGGTGCCAAGACTGATTTGAAAAGGGGGGAAGAAGAGAAACGACCCCCTCAAAACTATCCACTCCTGGGGTACTGGCTGGCTCAGGGGGTGGGGAATGGGGTACGGGATCTTTCCCCTCTGTGGGGCACCAGCTCCCATCTGGCCCCAGGGCGGGGGACTGGCTAGCTCAGGGGGTGGGGAATGAGACATGGGGCCTTCCCCGTCTAGGGGGCGTCGGTTCTGATTCAGTGGGGTTTTTTTGGGGATCTTGTCTATTTATAAACAAAAACAAATTGCATCTCTGTGTGTATTTTTAGAAGCACGTTTCCTGCCGCAGGATCTTTTATGGGCTTAAAACAAGCTGGTGGGATGGAACCCCTCTAGGATTACATGTAGGGGAAGTGGAGGGGACTCCTGGGGTGTGGTTCAAGGACAGAGGGACTATATGGTCCTGGCTAGACTTGATGGGGGGCTGATGGGAGAAACCCTTTACAGTTACCAGTGGGAATACTAGGGACTGGGATGTCCCATGGTAAGCGTTTGCTCCCCTGGCTGGTCGGCTGCGGCTCTTCTTGCTTGGCCCCTGGTTCGCTTCCCGGTTTGGGCCATCAGCTGGTTGGGGTGTTACCCGCACAAAATTCTGTGTTACACACTCTAGGGCACCCACCTTTACCCAATTTCTAGGGCTCAAGGTGTAAGCCTCTTAATTTAGGCACCCACACCCACTGTTCCCTCTAAGCTGGGCGCGTTTGTGCACGCACACAGATCCTAAACCCCACGCACACGGTGAAACACCGCGCGCACAGAAATTTGCACAGAAGCACAACAGTTTGCACAGAAGAAACTTTTTGCGCACACGGCCTGTCAAAAATTAGAGGGAACATTGCCCCTACCCATTCCCAGTTCCTAGGGCTCCAGATGAAAAGCACCAAATTTTACCCTTCCGTGGGCTCCAGGCTCTACTCCTCCATGGGCTCTGGGCTAACGCCCTTTTCCCGCAGACTCAAAGCAAACACCCTTTCCCTGTGGACTCCGGGCTTAATTTTTTGCAGGTTTACGGGGTCTTTTACCAGTGAAAGAGCCCTGCACAGTAATATCCTACGTAACCTCTATTTATTAACAATCACCAAAAAGCAGACTGCACATGCTACACCTGCAATGCACACCACTCCCAATAAGACAGGTGAACTTTTCTTGATGGCCAGTCAGGATCAGGTCCATCTGGGGGACCCTAGTTTCTGCACGGTGTCATTGGCAGGGTGTTGAGGTCTGCCAGCTCTGATCTTGGGGCTGTGTCCTGGAGTTGGTTCCCCAAGAACTTTCTGTTGGACCCAATTTATAAAGTGAAACTCGAGCCCTGCTTAGCTCGACCTTAACCAATCAATATACTAAAATGTTACTAACCAATCCTGACAAAATTCTCTAACCAATCCTACCCCACCACCTTAATTAATTTACACCTAGCAAAATTAATTATACAACAGACAGAAATAACCAAAGAACCAGGCAGAGCTCATCCAGACAAACAATAGGGAAGTGGGGACCATAATGACAAAACAGTAAAGAAAGGAGGATTTCCTAACCACAACTATTGATAAGTGATTTCTTGCCAGACAGAATGCTATCAAGCTAAGTTTTCTTTAACCATCTTAAGATCTGTTTCTTTATCTGGTGATAGTGGGGGCCATGAGGACGGGGTGTCCTTCTTAACAGCTGGATATTACATGGTTTTAATGTAAGTTAGATGGAATGTGAAGATGTGACTTCCTGCTTCCCCGCTGCTCTTTTAATCTGGCTGCAGACGAAAGCTTTAGGCCTTGCAATATGGCTGCAGACAAAGGCCTTATCCTTCCAGGGGCTTTTCTCCTTAGACAGGACTGGGGTCCTCCCATGTGGTGGGGCTCCTGCCGTGCAGGTGGAAAGCAGAAAGAATGAGAGACAAGATGGAGGGTGGGGGCGGGGGGCAGAAAGCAACAGGACAAGGGGAAGGAAAAACCATACAGGATCCTCCGTGGCTTTGTGGTGCTGGATGCCTTAGGAACCCTAACACGCGGAGGTGAACACCAGGAGCAAGGCAGCCGGGCTCCCTCTGGGGATGAACATCCCTTAATCTGGTTTGCTGCCGGGGTCCTGGAAGCTGAGATAAGGGGCGACGTCCAGGTTGGGGGATATATGAGCTGGGGGACGAGAATGATTCTTTTGGTTTTTTCAGTGTCTCTTTTTAAGCAGCCCCCCAAAAAGGAGTACAAGTGGGGGAGAGTTTCTCCTCATTATTTTGGCCACCAATTAAATCCATTTCCGGAAGGCTACATTCGGCATTGGTAACTTTGTTCCCACATTTACTTGTTTGTTAAGTATGACCTCACCACACTCAGTGGTTTGCATGAGCAGGGCCCCTGCTGTCTGGACTGATTCAATTTTTGTCTGGTTTTTCTTGCACCTGTTCCTAACATGGTGTGTTTATTGAAAAACAGCTAGACTTCTATTTCATGGTTAATTCTCTGCCAAGCAAACGGTCCTAGGTTAGTGTGACCTCTGATAAACTTTCCCACACTTCTCACAATTAAACTTACAAATGTGGGACATTTTTTAGGTCCAGTGATCACAACAGACCCCAAAGATACTTAAACTTAATTCAAGAAGGTCTCCCAAGGATATGCAGCATGTTGTCCCAAATTCCACCCTCCTCCTGGAGTGAGGAAGAGAAACCAGGAGTCCTGGCCCCTCAATACCCCCTGCTCTAACCCACTAGCCCCCACTCCCCTCCCAGAGCTGGGGATAGAACCCAGGAGTCCTAGCGCTCAGCACCCCCATTCTAACCCACTAGCCCCCACCTAATTCAGGGTGGTTCAGAGCAGTGTGCTGGCCCTCTTGGTCTGGCCCCCTTGATCCTGCCCTGTGCCCCCCTGGGGATGACACGTCTCATTTCCATGCAAGCGGCAGATCCATGGCAGGCTGCCTGGTCTGTTTGGCACTCATCCTCTGTCCTGCCCGCAAAGGAGTTTGCTAACCCCTGTCAATACAGCAGGCAGTGGGGTGGGGGAACCCTGCAGCTGGAACCCTGATCCCTCGCGTATAAAATGTCCTGTCTCTTCCCCACAAAGGGGCTTCCCTTCTGGCTCCACCAAAATCCTGCTGTGGGTTGAACTGGTCATGGGATTTCCCCTTCACCTCCTGTTACCCCTCTGTGCCACCCCAGAGTCATCTGCATCTCAGGAGCGGCAAGCAAGCCCCAGGCACCGGTCCTGTGACCCTGCTACCGTACCCCAGAGGTGCTGAACTGGGTCTCTGAGCCCATGGACCCTGCCCCAGGATCCCTCCAGCCACCTTGAACCTGGGCCCTATGCGTGCACAGCCCAGTGAGCTTGCTGCTGCCAGGGTGAATAAACTCGGGTGGCTGCTCCCTGGCTGGTGCTCTCAGCGCCGGAGATGAGAACCGTTTGGCTCCCGCATCGGCAGATCCCCCGCTCCTCGCGCTGCGCTGGGAGCCACAGAGCCATGCCTGCAGCAGCGAGCCGGTCAGGTGAGTCTGCGTAGCCAGGGGTGAGGAGTGTCCCTCGGGCTCTGCGATGGGCACAGAGTGGTCAAGGGGTGACTGGTGTAAGGGGAGCTGGAATTGAGAACTCGACTGGTAGCTTCCCAGCTAATACCCCTTCCACAGACCCCACCCTGAGAGCTGGGGATGGAACCCAGGAGTCCTGACACCCAGCCCCACTTGGCTGTTACCTCCCAGACCCCACTCCCCTCCCTGAGCTGGGAGAGAACCCAGGAGTCCTGACTCCCCGCCCTGTCCCCCCTGCTCTAACTCCTAGACCCCACTGTCCTCACCATGCTAGGGGGAGAACCCAGGAGTCCTGACTCCCAGCCCTGTCTGTTCTAACCCATTAGACCCCACTCCCCTCCCCAAGCTGGGGCTAGAACCCAGGAGTCCTATCAATCAGGGTTCTCTCCCCAGCTCTGGGAGGGAAATGGGGTCTAGTGGGTTAGAACAGAGGGGGCTGGGAGCCTGGACTCCTGGATTCTCTCTTCAGCTCCAGGAGGGGGCATGTGGATTTTTGTCCTAGCCTTTTGGCATTTTCCCCTGGCATAAAGGGACCTCTAGTTGCCTGCAGAGGGAAATGGGGCAGAAGGCAAAGTGATACAGATCTGGGAGCTCAGCAGAGAGCTGGAGCCCGGGGCAGGCTGGTGTTGAGGGGGTGGCTGACCGGAGATGGTGTTTACCAAAGGGGAGCCAGGCTTCCTGCTCGCATGAGGGTTTAAATAGTTAGGGCTGCAGCACAGAAACTCCCCCAGCAGGGGCGAGGCCCCATATCCCATTCCCCACTCCCTGAGCCAGCCATTTCCCCCCTGACCTGGGCTTGGATTGGAACCAGCACCTCCCTAGAGGGGAAAGGTCCCAGATCCCGTTCCTTGTAACTCCCTCTGGGGCCGTCTCCCTTCTAGCTGCCGCGATGCTGGGACTCCTCCCCGCGTTCCCCTGCCTGCTCCTCCTCTCCCTGCCAGGCCCCAATGACGACGGCACCATGGTGCTCACCACCAGCAGCCCCATCCGGGGCAAGTGCCTCCCGGCCGGCTCCAGCACAGTGACGGCCTTCCTGGGCATCCCCTATGCTGAGCCCCGCCATGGGGGCCTTGCACTTCCAGACACTGTTTCCCCACCAGCCCTGGAGCCACATCCTGGAGGCCACCGGCTTCAGCAACACCTGCTCCCAGCCTCTGCTTACTGGTTACCCTGATGCCTATACGTGGACGCCCAAAATGCTGCAGTCTGAGGACTGCCTCTTCCTCAACATCTGGGTGCCCAATCCCCGGCCCCCTGCGCCGGCCCCCGTCCTCGTCTGGATCCACAGCAGGGGGTTCTTCATAGGTGCAGCCTCCGTGGAGCTCCAAGACTGCTGCTTCTTCGCTGCCACCGAGAACGTGATCGTGGCCTCCATGAACTACCCGGCTGGGGCACTGGGCTTCCTGTCCCTGCCCTTAGCTGCCCCGGGGAATGCCGGCCTGTGGGACCAGTGCCTGGTGCTGTGCTGGCTGTGGGACAATGGGGCCACCTTCGGTGGGAACTCGGCCTGTTTGATACTCTTCGGCCAGAGCGCCGGGGCCTCCTCGGTCAGCTTCCATCTCCTCTCGCCGGGGAGCCGGCCCCTCTTTGCCCATGCCGGGCTGCCGAGTGGTGCCCATGCCTTTCCCTGGGCCTGGATTAGCCCAGAAGCGGCCAAGAAGATAGGCCAGGCGCTGGGCCGTGAACTAGCCTGCCCCGATTTCGATGACACCGCCCTGGGGGGCTGCCTGCAGGGGAAGGAGCTGGGAGACTTTGGGAAACGCATTATGTCCATGCCTGGGTCTGTGCCGACCGTCGACGGGGATTTCCTTCCCGATGAGCCACCGAGACTCTTGGAGGCTGGGCACAGCCAGCCTACACCCCTCCTGGCCGGCGTCACGGCTAACGAAGGCTCCTACATAATCATTGGTGCCCGTAACTTCACCAGGGTGAACGCCAGCCACATGAGCTGGGCGGAGCTGCTGGAGGTGCTGAGGGTGACAATGCTGGGGCTGCCGTGGGAGGCCGTCCAGGCGGTGGCACAGGGGTACGGCCAGGAGAGGCAGGGCCCAGCATGGTACCACCGCGCCATGGCTCACGTTGTCAGTGACTATCATGTGGTGTGCCCCATAGCCAAGCCGGCTGGGCAGATGGCGGAGGCCGGCGGTCCCATGTACGTCTACGGCTTCACCCGCCACCCCAGAGGCTTGTCTTCCCCCAAATGGATGGGGGTGCCACATGGCTCTGAGGTGCCCTACCTGTTCGGGATGCTGGCGTCCATGGAGGGAGCCAACCACACGCACACGGAGGCTGAGGTGGCGCTGAGCCGCAGGATGATGCGCTACTGGGCAGAGCGGCAAAGAGTCCTGTGGCACCTTATAGACTAACAGACGTAATGGAGCATGAGCGTTCGTGGGTGAATACCCACTTCGTTGGTTGCATACTGGGTAGAGTTTGCCAGGAGCGGGTAAGGGAACCCCTAAGAAGTTGCAACCCTGAGTGCCAGCCAGCTTGGATCTCCTTGCACTTTCAGGTTCTCTCATAGATTCATAGATATGAAGGTCAGAAGGGACCATTATGAACATCTAGTCTGACCTGCACAACGCAGGCCACAGAATCTCACCCGCCCACTCCTGCGATAAACCTCTCACCTATGTCTGAGCTATTGAAGTCCTCAGATCATGGTTTAAAGACTTCAAGAAGCAGAGAATCCTCCAGCAAACCCATGTTCAAATTTGGTGTCCCCAGGGCAGGTGGAATCCAGTCCTACCAGCAATAGAGTCAGTTATTACTAGATCATGACACCCCTGTTTAGGCTATTGCTTTTTCCCCAACCCCCTACAGCTAGCACTTGAAATAAAACAACAAAGCTCCCCTCTGAAATCGGACATTGCCTTGGTCCTAACTAGCCAGGTTAGGGTGAGCCATGCTCCCCACTCTCTAACATCCACTGGTTCTCAGCCTTTCCACCCTATTCATGTCCCTGCGCTCACACAGCCAGTGCAAGACAGATTGTGAGCATGGAAGCTGGGGAAATCCCCAGTTGTGCAGCTGGGAGGTACTGCATGATGCTTGGGATGTCTATGCAAATTACACCCGCCAGCTGGTCCTGAGCCCCTCCCACTTCCCCATCGGCGCCAGAGAACTGTATTTCAGATCAGCCTGGCAGCTGGCATGAGAGTGCCATTTCCCCACTTCACCACCAGAGGACAGCCTGCGACTTCAGCCCCGTGAAGAAACATGTGGAGAGGTGGCCATTTTGGAAGAGGGCAAAACTGGATTGTTTGGCTCTTGATCCTTCCTAGTTCGTGGGAAGCTCAGTGAGACCTGGCTGGAGACTGTGGGTAGTTGGGTATGTCCCTGTCCCTCTCTGCTGCCGCCTGCTGGAGTGAAGGACCCCTGGTCGGGGCATCCTCCTGTCTGCCTCCTTGTCGCTGGAATTCATTCCCTTTTCCCCCATGCTGATCAATTGATGCATTTTCCCCCAGGAACCCCATAGGGACAGGAGGCAGCAGGGAGCAGTGGCCTCTTTACAATGCCATGGAGAAGAATTTTTTCTATATCGGAATGGAGCCACCCCAGGTAGAGGGGATGTCGCTTGTCCGTCTCTGTGGCTTCTTGACACCACTGGTCCCAGATTATCAGCAGCTCAAGGGTGCATGTCACAATTTGGGGCACAATCCGGAGCAGTGAGGGGCTGTTCACCCTGTAACCCTGAGCGCCTGAGCCAGCCAGTCTCCCCAGCCTGGGGATGGATTGGCGCCGGTGCCCCCCAGAGGGAAAAGGATCCTATAATATGCTCCCATAAGCCAGTTCCCACTCTCCATAGATATGGGGGATATTCTGGCCTCCAGGCAAAACCTGGGGGGAGCCCTCCCATCCCAGGGCCTCTAGAATTCACATGCCATGGGCTGCCGCCTGACTCTAGGCCTGACTTTTTAGTGATGGGACAGTAACCCCCCATGCCTCTCTCTTAGCCCAGCCCAAAGGACCCTCTGAACCAGCAGGGGAGAGGGAACCTCCGGAGGACTGAGCACCATGGAGAAACACAGGATCTGCAGCAGGACAAGCCCAGACCCCCTCCTCCATCTCAGCTATGGGAGTTAGGCCCAGATTCTCTTGGGCATTTAGGTGCCGAGTGGGAGTTCGCTGCCTAAATAGCTTTGAGGATCTTGGCCTAACTCTCGCAGCTGGGTGTCCGTAACATTTTTGTTGAAGTAATTATGGGCAGCCACTAGATGGAGACAAGATCCGGCCCACTCATCCCTCTTCCTAGCTTCTCTACAGTGACACCTTTGTGTGCAGTATATAAACAGGCCACCAGATGTCACTGTGGAGGGGGAGCGGTCCCCTGGTCAACAGTGGGGCTAAAGGAGGGTTGCGACTGCATTTTCAAATCCCCGCTTGCCAGGGCATCGAGGTAATAGCCAAAGTTAGCTGGCTCAAAGCCTTCCTTTGTCAGTGTAATAAATTTGACTACAACAGTGGTAACTCATTGCTGCTTTACGAGCGCATTAACGGCATTAGCTCACAACACTCAGCTAATTTTCTTTTTCGCAAGTGAAGCTCATTACAGATTTTATTCAAAACAAATCCAAGCATAACTTAAGGGGTCAGCCCAATGGTCCAGCTAGCCCAGTATCCTCTCTTCGGACAGTGGCTGGCGCCAGATGTGTCCGAAGGAATGACAGAACAGGGCAATTATTGAGTGATCCATCCCCTGTTGGCCAATCCCACCATCTGGCAGTCAGAGGTTTAGGGGCACCTTGGGAGACAGGCCAGTCCTTGCCTACAGACAACCCCGCAACCTGAAGCAAATACTCACCAACAACCACATACCACACAACAGAACCACTAACCCAGGAACTTATCCTTGCAACAAAGCCCGTTGCCAATTGTGCCCACATATCTATTCAGGGGACACCATCACAGGGCCTAATAACATCAGCCACACTATCAGAGGCTCATTCACCTGCACATCCACCAATGTGATATATGCCATCATGTGCCAGCAATGCCCCTCTGCCATGTACATTGGTCAAACTGGACAGTCTCTACGTAAAAGAATAAATGGACACAAATCAGATGTCAAGAATTCTAACATTCATAAACCAGTCGGAGAACACTTCAATCTCTCTGGTCACGCAATCACAGACATGAAGGTCGCTATCTTAAAACAAAAAAAACTTCAAATCCAGACTCCAGCGAGAAACTGCTGAATTGGAATTCATTTGCAAATTGGATACTATTAATTTAGGCTTAAATAGAGACTGGGAGTGGCTAAGTCATTATGCAAGGTAGCCTGTTTCCTCTTGTTTTTTCCTACCCCCCCCCCCCCCCCCCCCCAGATATTCTGGTTTAACTTGGATTTAAACTTGGAGAGTGGTCAGTTTAGATGAGCTATTACCAGCAGGAGAGTGAGTTTGTGTGTGTATGGGGGTGGGGGGGAAGTGAGAAAACCTGGATCTATGCAGGAAATAGCCCGACTTGATTATGTAAAGAGTTGTCACTTTGGATGGGCTAGCACCAGCAGGAGAGTGAATTTGTGTGGGGGGGTGGAGGGTGAGAAAACCTGGATTTGTGCTGGAAATGGCCCACCTGTTGATCACTTTAGATAAGCTATTACCAGCAGGACAGTGGGGTGGGAGGAGGTATTGTTTCATATTCTCTGTGTGTATATAAAGTCTGCTGCAGTTTCCACGGTACACATCTGATGAAGTGAGCTGTGGCTCACGAAAGCTCATGCTCAAATAAATTGGTTAGTCTCTAAGGTGCCACAAGTACTCCTTTTCTCCAGGCATGTTTCCTTGCAATATGTCATTCAGCCATTAGATGTCGCTGTGTGCAGCATATCACTCTAGCCAATGTAGCGTCCCTGGTAAACAAGGGAGACTATGCTGGAACGTGAGCTTTGTAGAGGCCTGTTTGGGTCAGCAGCTGCTTTCTTTAATAAATGCCTTCTGTTATTATTATTTATTATTTGCGTCACCAAGCGAGATGCATTACCCACTGTGCTAGGCTGCGTACAGCTGCAGTGAAAGGCATGCCCTGCGCCCACGAGCTTCCCATTGAAATAGACAAAGGAAGGATTATTATCCCTACTGTATGGGGGGAGGGAAAACCGAGGCACAGAAAGGTGAAGTGACTTGCCCAAGGTTACACTGGGAGGCTGTGGCAGAACTGGGAACTGAGCCAGGTCTCCTGGGTCTTGCAGATCCGCATTCTGGAAGATTTGCTGTACTCAGACCCAAGTTATTGAGCTTTGACTGGTGAAATACAATGGCATGTTCTGTACAGAAGATCAGACTAGGTGATCTAATGGTCCTTTTGGCCTCCAACTCTGCGATCCTCTGCTTCACTAGCACTAGGACATGCTCGGCTGCTGTCTCAGCTGGGTCGTACCCCCGGTAATAGCTGCGTCAAACCTTTGTGGCATCTGGACAGGGTCCTGATTTGGTAGGATGGGTTTGGGCAGCTGCCCCAGTGTTTCGCCCAGCAGGGAGACATGCTACAGAGGGCGAGGAGAAGGGGAAGCTTTACTGGAAGGGCTTTCGGGGGCCAGCCAGCCACAGGCTGTGAGGCAGACAAAGCAGATACAGAGCAACTCAAACACTGGCACTGCCAGAGCAAATAGAGAACCGCAGTCCCATCCCAGCTAGCAGAGAGATTTGTCCAGGGGATTGCACAGGGAACCCACAAACAAAGGGGGTTTGGACAGAGGCAGGGAACCCATGAAAAACCCAGAAATAAGGAGGATTTATGGAGTGAGACAATAACCTGCACTTATATAGCATGTACACAGTGGGGGCCAGTATCCTGCCGTTTTACAGGGGGAGGAAACTGAGGCATGGCCACTCGGGGTGGAGAGGGGATTAGAACCCAGGAGTCTCTGCTCCCCCTGGCTGTCACCCACTAGACCCCATTTCTTTCCCAGAGCCAGGGATAGACCCCAGGAATCCTAGCTCCCAGCCCTCCTGCATTAGACCTCACTCCCCTCCCAGAGCCAGGGATAGAACCCAGGAGTCCTGGCTCCCAACCCCCAGGGCTCTCACTCCCATTTAGACTCTGCTCTCTTCCTAGAGTCAAGATTAGAGCCCAGGAGTCCTGATTCTCAGACCTAGACCAGTGATCCCTAAACTTTTTCAGTTGCGTGCCCCCTGGGAGCCAGGGCTGGGAGCAGGGCCAGAGCAGTGGCTGGGGCCAGGAGCCGTGGCTGGAACCAGGTCTGCAGTCAGGGCTGGAGCCAGCAGTTCAGCTGGGGCCACGGTCTAGGCCAGGAGCCAGGGCTGGGGCAAGGAGCTGGGGCGGGGGGGAGCACAGCTGGGACTGGAGCTGTGGCCAGGGCTGGATCTGCAGATGGGGGCAGGGCCGGAGCGGGGCTAGGTGGCGCTCCCTCCCTGCCTCCCCTGGGGGCTGGTTTGGGCCCACTGTACCGCCTGCACATTCCTCCATGCCCTGCATGGGGGCATGCCCCACAGTTTGGGGACCACTGCACTAGACCACACTCCCCTCCTAGCGGCAAGCATAGAACCCAGGAGTCCTGACTCCCAGCCCCACCCCCTCTCTATCTGGCTATATTGTCCCCAGCTCTACAGTTAGATAGAACTGTACAACCCCGTAAGAGGTTTATTAATCACAGCGAATCAGGGAACACGGGCAGGTTTCACACCCGGAGCGTCCATGGAAGAAGAGTGGATGGGGGGAAGATCAGGAGGAGGAGGAAGAGGAAGGGAAGAAGGGAGAAGAAAAGAAGGGAGGAAGGACAGATGAAGGAAGAGAAGAGGAGAGAGGGATGAATGAAGAGAAGGAGGACAGGTGGGAAGAAGGGAGAGAGCAAGATGGAAGGGAAGGAGGTGGAGGGAGGAGGGAGGATGGGGAGAGAGGGATGGGTGAACAGTGAAGAGGATGGCTGGAGAACTGCAGAAGTGGAAGGAGGGATGGGGACTGGGACGGAGGACAGGCAGGGATGGAGGAGGGTGGCAGGCGGCAGGCCGGACTCAGCGCCCTCCCTTGCTAGGGGCAGCAGGACCCAAGTCGTTGCAGAAGGAGGCGTGGGAGCAGCAGGTGATGTCGATCTGGTACTCGGGGTCCAACAACTCCTTCACCAGCCCGCAGCGGCTGGGATTCATGATGCAGCCCTGGATGGGGAACTGCACCTCACTTCCTGCAGGGGGAGACAGAGAGGCAGAGCTCAGAACCACGCCACTCGAACACACCACCCCAAAGCCCAGAGCACGGTTGGGGATCAGAAACCAGGCCACCCCAACCCAAGGCCGCTTAGTTGCTCCGTCACTGGCTGAAAGCTCCCCTGGCTCATAGGATGTTGATACAGCCAGGACTCCTGGGTTCTTTCCCCAGGTCTAGGAGGGAAGTGGGGGTCAAATGGTTAGAGCAGGTGGGGAATGGGTATCAGGATTCCTGGGGTCTATCCCCAGCTTTGGGAAGGGAGTGGGGTCTGGTGGGTTAGTGCTTGGCGGGGGTTGGGAGGGAGCGGCGATCCCACATTGCAGTTCTGAGCCTGACCACAAGGAGTCAGGCCAGAGCCAAGCAGCAACTTGCCCAGAAAGGAGTAAGGGTCAGTACTGGTGGGGGCATTTGGGACAGAGAAAACCCAGTGTAGCCCTCCCCTCCACTCACTAGAGCTGATGTTGACAGTCATGCATGGATGCCCAGCCTTAGGGGTGCACTCAGTGGCTCCAGGGAGGCAACCGATGTAGGTTTGTCCAGGGCGCATTGTCTGCAACGCAGATTGCTGGCTGCAGGGGGCGAGCAAGGGGAGATGCAGTGAGAGATGGGCACAAACACCCCCCAACCACCCCACCATCCCCACAGGCAGCCCACCCTAACCACTAGACCCCACTCCCCTCCCCAAGCCAGGGATAGAACCCAGGAGTCCTGACTCTCAGCATCCCCTGCTTTAACCCACGAGACCTCACTTCCCTCCCCAAGACATGGATAGAACCCAGAAGTCCTGGCTTCCAGCCCCCCCCCACTCCAATCATTGTACATTGCGGAGTGACACCACTTTTCCCCTCCTGAAGTTCTGTCAGTTTGGCTGGGTTACCCCAGACGTCTCCATGGCTGAGCAGAGATCTGGTGGGTTGCTGACCCGAGACGTGCCAGGGAAGTGGCCTGTGCGTGACTGAGAGGACCCGGGGCTGTGATTCATCCTCTTTCAGTGGCACTGTGGGGGTTGCTCACCCCAAGTTGACAAGCCCCTGGTAAAAGCTGCCTGCATTGAGCACGAAACCCCTGGCATGGCAGGCAGAGACCAGCAATCCCCATCCACACCTCTGAGTCCTCCAAGGAGAACTCTCCGCCTCCAGGGATACTAACTGACACGGCCATTTCCAGGGCAGCTGGACACGTGCATCTGAGTTGGCTCCTTAGTGGGACATGGACACCACACCAAGGGGCTGATTTCAGCATCTGCAACACTCATTTATCCAGAGGAAGGGGGCTGGGAGGCAGGACTCCTGGGTTCTATCGTTGGCTCTGGAAGGGGAGTAGGGTCTAGTGGTTAGAGTGGGGGAGGCTGGGTGTCAGGGCTATTGAAATCTATTCTAGGCACTCGGGAAGACAGGCGTCCGCTGCCTCAAGGAGCCGCTCAGGCCTGTCACCCTAGAGTGGAGTTCCCCCGAGCTCCCTGATGGCACTTACCCCCCCAGTGCGAGGCAGAACAGGACAGAGGCTGCGAGGAGCAGAGCCTGGGCCATGCTGGGCTCCTCTGGGTCGGGCAGGCTGCGTTGGGGGAGCACAGAGATCTGAGCTGGGACCGACGCAGACTCCTGGCTCGGGGGCTGGTTTTATTCTTCTGTGCCAGTGACCAGCCGTGCAGGGAGCATTGCCCGAGGTGGCTAGAGGGACAGAGCAGACCTGTTTCGAAGTAACCACCCACACCGAGAACAGGCCCTGCAGGGAGGCGACAAGTCTCCAGAAATAGATTCTTCAGGGCAGGGGCGGGGGGAGGGGACTGGGTGCCAGGACTCCTGGGTCCTATCCACAGCTCCTAGAGGGGGTGAGGTCTAGTGGGTTAGAGCTTTGGATGGGCCAGGGTCTGGGTCTGTATTTTACATTTCATCTTCAGCACAGTGGGCCCCTACACCACACTGGGGTATTGGGGTCAACACTGACTGTGTGGGGAGAATGGCCCCTACTGAGCCCCCACCCAGCTCCCTGAAGCACAGCCCCCCTAGTGTCATACTGGGGTCAGCACTGACTGTGAGGGGGGAGGGCGCTCCCTTCTGAGCCCCCACCCAGCTCCCTGCAGCACAGCGCCACCTGGTGCCACACTGGGGTCAGCACTGGTTGACCTGCCTCCCCCATATTCGCAAACGGCCTCCTGCACAGATCAAGCCGAACCCATTAATGTGAGATCAAAGTGTTTGCCCTTATTAGCGCAGGTTCAGCAGGATCCATCCCACCTCCGCACAGGGTAGTTACAGTTCACATTGTGAGGTTACGTGTCGGAAACACATTTCACAGTCGATGCAATGGGGATAAGATTTACACAAATCAGTCATAAGCCTGGGACTAGAACCCAGAAGTCCTGACTCCAGCTGACTGGAATTTCTCATCTCAACCTTTTTCCATCAGCAAGCAAAAGAGACACTTTCCCCAGAACTCTCCTGTTTTGTTAACACTTCAGTCAGGAAGGTAGCTCAGGCCCCGGAAGGGGTTTCTGGTCGGCGAGCGAGCGAGACACCTGCACACCTGACTGAGAGCAAAGATTTTAAACTTGGTCATCCACGTCGCAGCCATGTGCCTACTGAACTTCCCCAAGAACCGAGGCCCATCCCAAACCTCCCCCCGTTCCTCTCCATGGGCAAGGTCGAGTTCTTCAGCCGGGCCTTCTCGAACACACACACAGCAGCAGGTAGATCTGAGGTTGCTACTGAAACAAGACGCTCCACAGCACCCCTCCTCCTCTGGGGAGAGGACAAGAGGACAAACCCCACACGAGGGATGCGTAGACACCTGGCTTAATGCGCTATTGGGAGATGCTCAGATACTACAGCGATGAGGATGGTATCAAAACTTATGCAGACTCAAACCACTTGGTTCTCTTGGCGTTGGGTTGGCTCTTCGTGTCTGGTTCCGAGCATGTATTCCACAGCAAATCTGAATCATCTTCCCACCCATGAAAGCTTCATGGAAATGGACCTTTCACTTCAATTTCAACCGGCTTAATTTTGATGTGGAAGGAAAACAAGTGTCAAAAGCTCCACGTTTTGGGAAACGGATTTTTTAAATGATTCAGCCAGTGGACAGCAGCAGCAAAAAGGGCTGGGTTCAGCTGTCTAGGGGAAATCAGTCTGAGGACTTAAGTAACCCCAGTTCATACCCTCACCCAAAAAGCGGGTAAACTATATGTACCATCCTGGGTGCCCTCGCTAGGCACTGATCCTTCCCCCCCTTGCAAGGGTTTAAAACAAAAAGAATTTTATGAATGGGGGAGAGACAACAGAATGAATTTGAGAAAAACCAGCAGGTAATAAGTTACCATTCACTAAAGACACCTGGGGAAAAGTCTTAACAGTTATTCCAACTTCTGGGCTGCTCCTGGGGCTGTGATTCAGTGTTGGTTGCTGCGTACACAGTCCCTCCCCTAAATCTGACTGGGAGGCTGGCAGCTGCTATTCTCCCTGCTGCTTCAGCCCAAGCCATTTCAGCTCCATGCTGTCTGTTGCCTCCAAGCTTCCTCTACTCAACTCTTTGCGGAGCTCTGTGGGATGCAGAACGCCCTCGGAAGCATCTACACTGCAATTAAAACCCCTGTCAGCTGACTCAGGTTCATGGAGCTCAGTCTAAGGGGTGGTTTAATTGCCATGTAGATGTTCCAGCTCAGGGATCCCATGAGAGGGTAGGGTAAAGTCCCAGGGTTCAGGCTCCAGCATGAGCTCAAACATCTACATGGCAATTAAACAGCTCCTTAGCCCGATTCAGCCCAACAAGCCTGAGTCAGCTAACACAGGCCAGCCACAGGCTTTTAATTGCAGTGTGGACATACCCTTAACAGCCTATTCTATCAGAAATGGACTCACCCCAGAGAACAGACCCTTCTGTAATTTTGTCCAGGCTCTTAACTAACTGTGCCTGATAACGCTAGCAGTCAGGGTGACCCCTTCACCCTCTACACAACCAGTGTCCCTCTCTTCTCCCTCAATCTCCTACCAGGGACAATGGCATCTTATTGCCCCCACACTCACAACGTAACTGATTTTAACCCAAATGACCCAAACTGTTGCATAGTTGAAATGCAAATGAGGCTTGCTCCATACCAGCCATTTCCCTTTGCTCACCAACAGGTGGCAGCAGAGAGTGCCCTCTGTTACAGAGGCCCGGCCCATCTGGGGTTCTCAAGTAGTTCTGGGCTACCCTTCCATTCACAAACAAATGTCAAGAGCAAGCTGTCTTCTCTCTAGAACTTCAAGCTGTTCACCAAACAGCATTAATCCTGATTCCCACTACCCCCTAGCTTTAACCGCTAGACCAATGTTCCCTCTCATTTTTTCCATCCATGTGCGTAATGAATTTTTGTTATGTGCACAATATTGAGGTAATGTGTGGATGTGCGCCACCAGTAGAAACCAAAAACCAAGATACAATATATATTTTTAAAAAGTTACCATAGGGATAATTAATCCAGCCAGGACAGGTTAGGTATTTTGTACTCACTACTCAAAGAACAAAATTTAAGCGTAAGAGAGAAATAAAAATTATAAAATGCACAGACCAGTCAAAAAACTAAAATAACACACTTTGAAAGAAGTATCAAGAAGTAACAACACCACAAGTATGTGTTGGGAGGTCAGTGTAAAAGACAGAGTGTGTGTGTGTGTGTGTGTGACAGAGACGTGTGTTGCCCCTTTAAGTACGCTGCCCTTTTAAGTAGATCACCAAGTTCAGACACAGCAGCGGCTGCCAGCAAGCTCCCTCAGTCCCCTCCTCCCGCTCTGTGGAGATGGGGTATGGGGCAGGGGAACACCCTAACATCAGCACCCCTCTCCCCTTCCCCGCTCTACACAGCAAGCAGGAGCCTCCTGGGAGCAGCACATGACAGTGGGGGGTAGAGACACCTGAACTGTGCAGCACTTGATAGCCTGCTGGGTGGCTACCCAGCTGTGCAGCTTACAGGGAACATAGCACTAGACCCCACTGCCCTCCCAGAGCCTGGGATAGAACCCAGGAGTCCTGACTCCCAGCCTCCCCTCGAACCTACTTAAAACCCCACTCCCCTCCTTGCTGGTGCTCAGTGCACAGTGAGGAAGAGCCGTACACACCAGGGAGTCTAAGAAAACCGGTGGTTTATTGATAACAAGTCGCAGGCCATTATACGATACAAGCCACAGAGACAGGTTCTTGCCCGGCCAGCTGGGACAGACCACAGCGCACACAATTGCCTTCACATTCCAGGGGAGCGGAGGTGCCTTCTTTGTACCCACCCCCCAATGGGGACAGGAGCAGGGACTGTGCCCCCCGACCACAGAACACCCCCTGCTGACGAGTCACAGCCCCACCCCTGCAGGGGCCCCCTCTGGGGGGCAGGGGGGAGCTGGGGCCCATTCAACCTTTGGCCTCCCTGCTGAGGTGACTAGCACTGGGGTGTGTCAGGACAGGTGGGGATCAAGGCACCTTCTCTGCTGACACCCACCAGCTCATTACACCCATGGGTGCACCAAGTGAAATGCATTTCTGCCCTGCGCGGAGATGGGGCCAGATTGAAACAGGTGCCCCTAGAGGGGAAGGTCCGGGGTACCAATCCCCCACACACTGAGCCAGCTACCCATCCAAACTAATGGGGAAAGGCTCTGCATCCCATCCTGCTCTGCCTTAAGCCAGCCAGTCCCTGTCCTGGGCCACTAGTTACACACACAGCTAGTTAATGCATTACAAGCGGTGCCCCTCTCTCCCCTCCTTCACACACAGCTACTCGAATATGGAGCCTTTTGAGGTGTCACACTGCCCTTCTCTGCCTGGGGCAGAAAAGCATCTCCCCCATGAGGCTCTGACCCCTCCTGGGCATGAATGAATCCTTGATACTTCCCCATCCGCTGCGAGTCAGAATCTGAGCCCTCCGTCCCAGCTCCTGCAAAATCTCCACTCCTAAAGAGCTGCCCCGCCCCACCCCAGAGGTGGCTGCATCTCAGTGCTGGGTGAGCACATCCTTTGCTGATTTTCTGGTCAGCTGTTACCCAGAGGTGGCTGCATTTCACCAAGTCTCACCTGAGCCAAACTGTTTAGATTGGAAGCTCTTTGAGGCAAGGAGTATCTCTGACTACACGCGGGCACACAGCGCACAGCCCAATGTGGTCCTATCTCAGCTGGGAACTAGCTACTACTGAAATACAAATAATCATCAGCTCCTGCGTAACCCCGGCAAGGAGTATTCTCCCGCACAGTGATCAGGCATGGCCGTATGTTCTCAAAACACGAACCCAGTCTTGCTAAAGACTCCCAGTGAGAGATGCCCTCCCTTGGGAAGCAGCCACATGGGTTAGTCGCCCGTTCTGTGGAAAATCTGCACCTTGCCTCCACTCGCAATCTGTCTCGCTTCAACTCCCGGCTGTCGGCTCCCACGTGGCTGCCGATGGCTGGACTGAAAAGCCCTTGGGTGGCAGAAACCTTCACCTGGGTGGGCATTTATGTTGAGGGGGCTCGGAAGGGCTGAACCCAAACTCAAAGGGGGACAGATCTGGAGCAGCCTGCGATAATTTAAGTAGCTCAACATGCGGTAACCAGGATGTAATGTTTACTGTCTGCACATAAGCCCCTTCCACTGGGAGTTTCGCCTGCAGGCCGGTTGCTGTTCCAAAATCCGTTTCTCTCTTGTTGTGCTCCATTCCTACTGTTAACGACAATCAATCCTTTGGTTTCGGGTCAAGGTACCCAACATGGGAGCCAACTTCCATAGGTCCTGCTAGAGAAGCACAGCTGATACTTGGGGTGCCGGAGCCTGGGAAGTGGGCTCAGAGTGGGAAAATGTGGGAATCCCACCCCAGGAAAAGGAAGAGCTCGAGGGCCAGTGGGGGTGCACTCAGCTCAGAAAAGGAGCGAGAGGTGCAGTTAGCTCTGGAACGGCGATGGAGATTTCTGACCTGTAAACATGGGCAACGCCAACACACCCAGTTACCCTTGCATTGAGTCCAAAGACTTTAGACTAAAGCATTTAAATCCTTAGGGGACTTAATGTTAAGTGTCGCAAGGCAAGACCAACGTGTCACCACTCTGCAACGGCAGGGAACACGAGGTCTGCGTTCTCCTCATCCAAACAACCCCTGGTGGAAAGTCCTATTTAATTCCCCTCGCGGCCACTTCTTGAGCCAATCAGGGCTGAACAATTGGCTCTTCTAACCCCACAGCTGACATCTGAACACGGTACATGAGTCAGGGAGGAAACCAGCTCGCTTGAGAATGAAAACCTTGCATGTTCCGCAGATACAACTCAGGGAGAAGAGACGGAGCCAGTTTTGACACAGTCGATTTCCAACCGTAACTGCGCTGTCACAGGTTTTTGGGCACCCCAGCCTACTTCCTTGCTTTAACGGAGTTCTTCATTGCCCAGAAGTTATTTCCTCACTTTTTCTTTTCTTCAAAAGACATGAACTCAATTATTTCATGTTCAAGAGAGATCAGGGTGCAGAGCAGCATGGATATGGATGCACCTGATGGGTTATTAAAGAGCGAGTGGCAGAGGGCAAAGAAAGCATGGAGGTGCATTTTCAAAGCTGCTGCAGTGGGGTGGAATGGAAGGGGTTGGGAACCGTGCAAGGTTTTCCTGATACTGCCAGAGTGGAGGCTACCAGGTAAACTTCGCCCTCTCATGGAGGGAGCAGAGGGGAGTTCAGTCTCTAGCCTATTCACTCATAGGCGTCTCCTGTTTAACACAGGTTAGAACAGATGATCGAGAGGGTCCAGTGACTTCCACCCCTGCCACAAACAAATCCCAAAACAGGCCTTCCCCAGAGAGTTCACCCCAGAGCAAGGGGGAAGACTCAGCCCAAAGGGACAGGAGTTGGTCAGTCCTAAACATTTCCTCTGGCCTAGACAAGCATGACAGGTGATTTCCCAAGAAGATACACCACCATCAGGAGACCAAGGGGTTGTGCCCCCTCAAACAACCTGGAACACTGACTGACAAGGCTCAATATGCTCCCTTTTCTGGGTACCAATTTATCATCTAGACCGCTACCCCTGCCTCTCTGCCGGCACCAGATCAGGCTGACGGTCCAGCTAGTGTAGTACCAGTTTGCCCTCCTAGAGCTGGGAACAGAACCCAGGAGTCTGGGCACCCAGCCGCCCCCGCTCTACTAGACACATCACTCCCCTCCCAGAGCTGGGAACGAAACCAGGAGTCCTGACTCCCTGGACCTAATCGACTGGACCCCACCCTGCCTGCTCTGCTCCAGAAGGGGAATAAACTTGGGTCGTACAAGGCCAAGGATTCTCTCCTGCAGCACGCTCAAGTCCGCTGCCTTTCCCAAGGACTCACCTTGGACAGTCCAAATGTGATGCGTTTTCATGGGAGCCAGGTGGAAACAACACAGTTCCCCCCCCTCCTCCCCCCCACCAAAAAAACCAGGAGACAAGTGCAAGAGGAGCCCAGGATCAAAGTGACTCAGGGACTGAGAACTCGGCCGGACAAGCAAGGATCCACCCCCTTGAGTCCATTCCGGAGGGAGAGATCGGGCCACGTCACGGAGGGAACAGAGTGATTTGGAGGGCGGGGCCACCTCGTAAATCTGTTGGATCCCTGTTTATCCAGCACCCCTCAGAATGAGCTGCCGACATCCCCATAGTCCTTCGCAGCCTGTCTCCCCCAATTCTAATCAGAACCCCCACCCCTCCTGTTGCAGTCCATGGTGACTTATTAGCATCTACACACCCAAGAGAGATACCCATGGCTTTAACCTGGGGGGTGGTGGTGGGGGGGGATTTACTAGTCCCTGGGTCCAGATCCCCCTCAACGGCAGGGTCCCCCCACTGCTGGAGGGGGTGGTAGCTCCCACCCATAGAGGGAACCCAGGGTCTTGTCCTTCGGGACTGCACTGGAGTCTGATGTCCGTGCTGGCCCCCATTAGGGGGAGAGATGAGGGCGGTGGGGGTTGTCCGCCGCAGCCTGGAAAGGCAGAGGCGTCAGAGAGCTGTGAGATCCCCCCGCCCCAGTCCATGCTGGGGGCAGAAGCGGGATCTAGCAGCCTCCATCACTCCCTGTCCAGGAAGGCTGGCTGGCTGGAAGGCGGGGGGAAAATGGAACGGAGGAGTTCCTTCATGGCTGGTTCCAGCGTGCATGGCAGGGGGCTGCAAAGCCCAACCCACTAGGGTTGGACTAAATCAGGGCATGGCCAGCGAGGTGGCCCCCGCAGTCTGCGGGGAGGGGTGGGGCCTTCAGTAATCCACTTCTGGCCCCGCCCCGGCTCTCCCGGTCCACAAGCAGGGTCTCCAGGAAGGCAGTAAGAGCCATGGTGCTCATCACAGTCAGGGCATGCGGGTGCACAGCAGAAACCAGATCCATGCCTCCTGCCTAGCCCCAGTCTGCAAGGAGGCTGGAGCGAGCAGCCTCCAGCCCCGTCACTCCCAGTCCGTGGGGGTGCGGATGACGAGGGGGGCGGCGTTCTTGCGTCCGGCGCGGATGCCCGGGTAGAAGAGGGGCCAGATCTTCTCGGTGAAGGTGTCCATGAAGGTGTAGATGTGGGAGCGGTCGGTCACGTTGTAGAAGGACACCCGCCCGGCCTCATAGTCCAGGAAGACGCCCACCCGCTTGGGCTTCACAAGGAGGTGCAGCGGGGTGAAGGGGGTGGTGGTGGCCGCGTACTTGTCGCCGTTCCACAGCCGCACTCGCCAGTAGCCCGTCTCGGGCAGGGCCATCAGTTCGCCTTTGCGGCTCACCGAGTCCTTGCAGACACCCAGGGCCCAGTGCGTCTTGTCGCCCACCTCCACCTCCCAGTAGTGGCGGCCCGAGGTGAAGCCCTCGGTCGCCAGGACGCAGGGGTAGATGGTGAAGCGACGTGGGGTGTCAGGCAGGTCCCGCAGACGCGTGTCCACGAACTTCACGCTCTTGCGGTCCTCGGAGAGCACCAGGTTGGGATGGGCCGTCTCAGGGTCCAGGGTCACATCTCCTGGAGGGGGAGGGGGAGAGGGGCCGGGCAGTCAGTCCTTTGCCCCACCCCATGTTGCCCTTGGGGTCGCCCCACACCCAACCATCAACCCCACTGCCACTCCTTTCTCAAATCACCCCCTCCAAACCAAACCCCCACTCACCCCTCACCCAACCCCACTGCCGCCCCCTTCCCGAATCCCCCCGTGCCAGGCCCACACCCTCTCCCAACTGACCCCCCGACTAACCTCACCTCCCCCCACCCCTTCCCAACTGACCTCCCCACTCATCCCACCTGACGTCCCCGCCAACCCTTCCCAAATCCCCTCCGTGCCAGTCCCCTCCGCCTCCAAACAGATCCAACTGATCTCCCCACTGACCTCCTCCAAACCAGTGCCCCCAGTCTCTCAGCCTCATGCCCCCCCCAACCCACCTCCATGGCCCCCCTCCCCCACAAACCTTCCCACAGCACCCTTTTCACTTCTCTTCCCCCTCCCCCCCCCAATGGCCCCCAAATGCACTGGGAGGAGGGTCCTGCTCATTCTACCCCTCCCGGTTCTTGCTAACCAAGGCATCGACGCCTTCAGAGCCAGCAGGGTTCCCAGGCCCTATATGTTCTCTGGCGAACAGGGTGGGAGAGGGACCAGCCCCCCACGACCAGGGAAGGAAGGGACCCCACCCAGGGCAGAGCCCTCAGCAGCCCCACTCACCGATCAGCCTCTTGATGATCTTGCGCAGGACGAAGTACTGCCGCGGGAAGCTGCAGAAATTCTTCTCCAGCTTGATGGGGACTGAGGCCAGTTCCATGGTCTGCACCGTCTCACACCTGAAGGGGGCGACATACAGCTAGCACCACATCAGCTGGGTCTGAGCTCCCAGCACAGGGGCCCACAGGGCCAGGGCCCTGGCCTACCCTATCCAAGGTACCTGTCTGCCACAGTCACTGTCGGATCTGAGCACCGCATGGCCTGTAACATAGTTCTCCTCCAGGCACTCTGAGAGGAAGGGCAGGACTGTTAACACGGAGCATTTCAGAGACACTTATCCTGCCTCACAAACCCTGCCTGCACCTGAGACACAGGGCTAGGAGGGGGAAACTGAGGCACGGAGAAGCCAAACAATGAGCCAAGCCAGCAACAGAATCTAGGAGTCCTGACTCCGAGTCCCCCTTCCCCTGCTCTAACCAATAGACTCCACTCCCTTCCCAGAGTTCAGGAATTCTGGCTCCCAGCCCCCACTGCTGTAACCCATTAGACCTTATTCCCTTTCCAGAGCTGGGCACAGAACCCAGGAGTCCTGACTCACAGCACCCCCCCACTCTAACCAGTGGACCGCACTGCCCTCCCAGAGCTGGGGATAGAACCCAGGAGTCCTGACTCCCAGCGCCCCCACCCTAAGCCACCAGACCCCACTCTGATATTTTGGTCCAAGACATGGGCTGGCTCAGTTGTTTGTCCATTCCTGCAGCTCTGACCCACCCACTAGGCCCCGGCCCTGTTCAGATCCTTTCCCCTTTGAGAGCAGGGGGTTGGATGGTGCTGTCTTCACCTCCCAGGGTGAGGGCTGGGAAATGGAGGCCTTACCTTTCCAGGGTGCTCTTTATGTCCTACAGGAAGAGAAAAGAAGTGGATCAAGGGAGGTTCCAGGACTTGGTCAGGCAGTATCCAAGCTGCCCAAACCCCAGGGCGGGACAGGTCTCCCACCGCCTGCTCCCCAGAGAGATTCCCCATCAAGGCCCGTCCACCACCTATGCCAGGATCGTCTCCTACATCCTATCCTCCAATGCTTTGCCTATCAGAGCTGAAGATGCCCCAAACAGGGCCCATCTCGCCCAGTCCCAAAAGGCAGCCAGGCTTGGCCCCCTATATCTAGGTCCCCAGCGTTCTGGCCCATCCTGGTTTGAGACGTCTCCAGCAAAGCAACGGACCTCCCAGACCTTCCCCTGGCATGACAGCCTCCTTGATGGGCAGTGGCTCAACCACAGAGCTCGTGGCTCAGCCTCGGAAGGTCTCGGCTCTTTGCACATCTGCATGCGACGACATCTCAGGGGCCAGGTTTCCCCCACCACGTTGAGGACACCTGGGAGATACAAGGGCCTTCTCTGGGTCCGGCCAGAGCTCCAGTCGGAGCCCTTCTAAGATCCTCAGTGGGGCACCTCTAAGGAGCAGAGCAGACCAAGGAGTCAGGAAGTAGCTCTTGAGAGAGAGAGAGGTCCCTAAACCTCCCTCCTCCCAAAAAAGTCATGCTAACCCATCCAAGTGAGACCTCCTGATGGCCAAAGCCTGGTCTACGCCTGTAGAATAGCTATGCTGGTTGGGGGTGTGTGAGACTTTACTGACAGACTTATGCTGGGACAAGGTGGAGACTGGAACCAGTCTAACTTATTTCACTTTGCCAAAGTGGAATAAGCTACCCTGGTGCAAGCACTTGCAGGCCAGTAGAATGGTCTCTGTGCTGGAGGCAGACAAGGCCGAAGGAGGTGGCTGGTCCCTTGGCAGGAAGCTCCAAGGCACCTCTGGTTAAATGTCCTTGTTATGGATTCTCCAGGAAGTCTTCCTCCAAAGCCAGCCAGGTATCTGAGAAGCAAGCTCAGAATAGGCCCCAGAAGAAACTCTTGTGACAGGATGGAAATTCTGGGTGCCTCCTTAGATGGAGACGGAGCTCCATCCATATCCATATGGAGATGTCCAACAGTGCCCCTCGGTGGGCTCAGGAGACTCCTGGGGTGGGAGCTCCAGGGATTGGATGGGAATTCTGGCTGCTTCCTCCAGCCTTAAGAGCTGGAAGTGGCTTGGGAGGAAGCTCTGGAGGACAGAGGTCCCTCAACTCCCCCACTCTGGAAACTCCAGACAGGGGTGCCATTTTGAGCCTCTCTGGAGAAATCTCTGTGGGTAGGATGGAAATCCGCGTGCTTGCCCAGGGATTCAGCCACGTCCTGCTGGGTACCAACCTAAGGGCCAGGAAAAGAGGATGCCCCTCAGGGCTCCTCACCTTGAGCATCTCGATGCCCGACTGCAGGCACTTCTCCTCAATCTCAGTGATGAGCTGGTTGAGGGAGAGGCGGTGGTCTGACAACTGGGCCACATTGTCCTTTAGCTTCTGCAGGATCTCCTTCTCCTCCTCCTCTAATCGTCGGAGCAGCACCTGCTGCTCCTCCTCCAGGAACTGGTGCAGCTCTTCAAACTCACTCACAATCAGCTGCCGACGGCTCTCCACCTTTCTCTGCAGTGGCGGGGAGAGGGGAGGACCAAGCTGGAGTCAGGCATGGGGAAAGGCAAGGGATGAGCCCGGGTCTCCCCCAGATCTGGCCACAGAGCAGCAGAACAGGGGGTCTCCCCAGATCTGGCTACAGAGGAAGGGAGCAGGGGGTTTCAGGATGGGGGGCGTTCCCCAGACCTGGGGGTCCCAGGTGATGGTGGTGGTGTTGCCCCAGGTCCAACTAGAGGGATTATCCCAGGTGCATTTGTGTGGGATGTCTCCACAGAGCTGAACAGAGAGGAGCTGAGTGCAGTGGGAACCCGGCTGGGACCTCTCTATAGGTGGGCAGAGATGGTTATTCTCTTTGCAGAGCGTACATGCAGATTGCTCCACCGGCTGTCAAAATGCAGTCACCTCTGGGGCGGAGCGTGGCGGCTGTGATACCGTGAGGCAAAGCCGCAGAATAGCGTGGGGGAGGATGCAAAGGGGAGCCCCGTATCCACCTGAAACCAGACTGCAGGGGGCTCATGGAGGCAGAAAGGAGCCACCTGAGTTGGGATTTGGACCCCAGGGGCAGTGCCGTGACTCCTGAGATAAGCAACAGGAGATCTTCACTCATCTCACACAAGCAGGGTTTCTGACATGTCTCAAAGATGGCACTTCCAGAAGCACAGTGCCCCCTAGCATTAGACTGGGGCATTGGGAGTCAGCACTGACTGTGAGGGGAGAGTGCCCCCTACTGAGGCCTCCCGCAGGTCTCCTATCCAAGCTGGGACCCTGCCCAACCCAGCTCCGCAACTCATGGCTGGATCAGCACATCTGACGGACGACCCAGCCGCAGGTGACAGAGCAAACCCCTGAGCCCCTGCCACCTGCCTTCAGCTCTCCGGGTTTCTTCTCCTCCTGGGATTTGCAGTGGGCAATGTCCTGCAGCTTCCGCTCCAGAGGCTCCAGACACTGCTGCAGCTTCTCCTGGGAGGACAAAGAACATTTAACAAGCTGGATCCAGCCACAGGATTCAGGCTCAAATCAGCAGTAACCAGATGGTCAGTTCCCTAGCATTTAGATGGGCCATGGGTGGCGCTATGGTAAGGAAAAGGGTTTACAGCTGTTGGGAGGCACAGTCAAGGCCAGAGAAGAACCCAGTCCCCTATGGACAGTCCAGTCTCAGTCCACCCTCATCTAACCACTCACAGAGCTGGGGACAGAGCCCAGAAGTCCTGGCTCCCAGCCCCCACTGCTCTCACCCGCTAGACTCCACTGGTGCTGCGCTCCCCTGTGTGTATCATTAGGACTTCTGGGGGCATATCCCCTGGATCTCAGCACTGCGGTAATCAGAGCTGATTCTTTCCCAGTGAATTGTGGGAAAACTTGTCTGTCCTTCCGGGGACACAGGTGGCATTGTGGGAAGGCACTGGAGGACAACCAGCTCTGGAGAGGTTTAGCCTGCATCCTCACTGGATGAGGGTGAGTGAAAGCGGCACCCGAGGGCTACGTATGGATGAGGGGGGTGGGTTAGAACTTGGGCTAGCTCTACAGTGAAGACAGATGCTAGAGGGACCCTGGGAAACCTTCTCCAGCTCATGGACTGTAAAGCACCGGCCCTGGGGAAAGGGCCGGGTGTCACCTCTTGGGCAGCCTCCCACCTTGTACTCCAGGGAGGCGTCGTCCAGGGGCACCACGGTGTGGGAGCGGTGGTCGTGGGAGATCTCGCACACCAGGCAGACGGCCTCCTGGTCCTCCTTGCAGAAGAGGTTGAGCACCTCGTTGTGCTTCCCGCACAAGCTCTCGTCCCGCACCTTGCGCTTGGTGGCCTGCAGCTGCTTGGCTATCTCCACCATGTTGCCCAGCTGCCGGTTGGGCTTGAGGGTGCGGTGGCGGAAGGTCTTGCGGCAGACGGGACAGGGGAAGTCCCGGTTCAGTTCCTCCCACCAGCGGGTGATGCAGACCCGGCAGAAGTTGTGGCCACAGTCGATGATGACCGGGTCCTTCAGGTACTCCAGGCAGACGGAGCAGCTAGCCTCCACCTGCAGGTTCTCCAGGGGGTTGGTGGTAGCCATGGTACCTGCAAGACAAGGGGGAAATAGCTGTGTGGGAATGGGGGCCTTTCCCCTCCAGGGAGAGCCAGCTCTGATCTGGCCCCCGCACGGAGCGACTGACGGGCTTGGGGTTGTGTGGAATGGGGCCTTTCCCCTCTAGGGGTCGCTGGCTCAGATCCAGCCCCAGGGCAGAGGGACTGGCTGGCTCAGGGTGTGTGTGGAATGGGACATGGGGCCTTTCATCAAACAGTCGGGAGGAGAGAGAAGATCCCACTCACTTTTTGGTTTCACTCCACAAGAATGGGTTGAGCATTCGCAGCAGGCTGCAGCGAGGAGCCAGCAGCCGATCCCTAACACGCTCCGTAGATCTCTCAGTGGCTCTGGGCAAGTGGTGCCCTCTCCCACAATCTGGGCAGCGGTAAGCTGAGGGCACAGAGTGCGGAAACGTGGATGTTGTATGGGAAACAATTCCATTACAAGGAGCCCAAACATCACATGATCGTCAAGAGTCACCGGAGCACTCCTGTGTTATACACGTGATCGGCTCTGAGGCACCACCCCCGAAAGTGGCTGCAGCTGACGCCCCCTCCCCCAGTTGAGGAGGAGATCAAGCTGGGTACTGTTGCTTCTTTGTGATACACAGTGATGGCCTGAAAGGGCTAAACTAATTTCTTCCCCTCGCCTCCCATCCCACAATTAGAAATTCAAGTCCCGTCTATCCTGGAAGTCTCAGTGGAAGACTGGAGAACTGGTCGGATTTTATCACACATACAAAGCAGGTCAAACTTGATCCACTGAAAAGAGAGATTTATACCCAGACTGCTTTAGAAACATCTTGGGGGTTCTGTTGACACCTACTTATGGACATAGGAAAGAGGACTGGGGGTCTTTTATCTCAATATCCTATCTCCAACTGGCCCGAGCATGAGATGCTTCAGAGGAAGACACAAGAGACACCCCCCAGTGGCCAACGATGGGATAACATGTTCCTAGGAAAATCTACCTCAGCCCCCAGTAGTCAGAAGTCGGTTCATGCACCAGGAGGGTTTTTAGCTCAGCCAAAACTAGTTTAAAATACATATTAATTTATTATTATTATTATGGGTTGGGTTAAAATTAACTGAAGCAAATGGGTGAGTCTCCTTCCATTCTGGATAAATTTAAGAAAACAATTAAGCTCTTTTACGGAACCAGATAGTTGAAACAATGGAAGCCACCACCCAAAACACAGGCACGGGTCATGGCCCCCCAAAAAGCAACACACTGCTGGTGAGTTAAGTGGTGGAGAGGATGTTGGAGCTGCGTGTGTCTGTGAGAGAAGCAGCAGAAAGAGCAGAGAAGCTGACAGAAAAGACAGCAAGAATAAGCTATGCTCCATCTTGTCTCAGTGTGGGGAGGTGGGGTGGACTAGATGACTTTCTCGACGTCCCTTCCAGCCCCACATTACTAAGTTTCTAAGAAAGCTCAGGCCAGCCAGAAAAAGCAGCGAGGCTGTGACCCTAAGAAAAAGCAGAGAGAGTGCTTTTGGGCAGAGTGCTGATGGGAAAAGGTCTTGAGACTGTTTCCTGTTCAATTCCTCCTGTGTTCAGGGAAACAGGACTTTGTAAATAAACAGGGACTGCATCAAAGAAACACCTGACTCCATCACCAATTTCTCCTCCTAATGGTAACAACCTGCAGAGTTGGAACACTAGCTAACAGCTCAGGTCAAAAAGGGGTCGCAGTTTTCCAACTCCAGATATTTTTATTACCCACCTAAATGTCCAAAGCTATTTAGAATTCCACTAGCTCTCCACCTCAGCGATATCCTAAGGCAGGGGTCTCCCAACTTTATGAGACGAGGGCCATATTAGATTTCTGAAGGGGCTTCGTGGGCCGAAGCGACTGTGAAAGAAATTAAATATATGCAAATATATGCAAAATATATGAAAAATCGTTAAAAAAACAACACTACGCTATTGTGTCAGTTTTGCATTAAATTCGAAATCAGGCTCCCCTTTTTGGGTCTGCTCTGACCCGTGCCAGCTCCCTTCTCCCTGTGCCTGCTACACGTGCCTGCTCTGCTGAAGCAAATGACAAAGGATTGAAGGTTTGGCTGTACTTTGGTAAGAGAAGCTCCATGTTCCCATTGTTGGTTGGGACTGTTTGGTTCTATTAGTTCTGTAGCTAAAATTTAACCATTATGAAATTGTTAATTTCCATCTTCTTTACTCCATTTATTGGAGATGTAATTAAGCATCTGGCTTGTATTTTTACTCTAAGTTGGCTCCCCTTTTGGGAGGACCCTGGCTCCCGGGGGCACTCACCCCGCCGCACAGCTCAGCTGAGCTACCTTCCCACCCCCCCGCAAGCTGCTGCCGGTGGCCCCTCCCCCTGCCTGCTGGCGGTGCCTACTCAGCTGTTTGCTTCTCCCCTGTTGGTTCGAAGGCCGGACAAATGGAAATCCCGGGCCGCATCCGGCCCGCAGTTTGGGGACCCCTGTCCTAAGGCAATAAGTTCCACAGCCTAACTGTGCAAAATATAGTACAGTAACTCCCCACTTAACATCCTCTCGCTTAACACTGTTTCGATCTTACGTCCCTGCTCAATTACAGAACATGCTCCATTTAAAGTTGTGCAATGCTTTGCTATAACATCATTTGGCTGCCTGCTTTGTCCACAGCTGGCGGCCCCCACCAGCTCCCCTACACGCTCCCCCCCGCACAGCGCCTCCCGCCTGCCAGCAGATCCGTCCTCCCAGATCAGCACCCTCCCGCTCCTCCCCCTGCCTCTTGCCCGCGGCAATCAGCTGGCTTGTGGCGTTCAGGAGGGATGGGGGGAAGAGGGAGGACACGGCGCGCAGGCTCCCCCTCCCTCCCCGCCTCTTGAACACCACAAACCAGCTGATTGCCATGGGCAGGAGGCAGGGGAGAGGAGCGAGGACGCAGCCTGAGGAGTAAAGGGGGAAGGGGGGGGAAGAAGAGGAGGGTTAAGGGTGGGGGCTTGGGGGAAGGGGTGGAGTGTGCGGGCTGAGGGTTGAGCCCCCTGCTCCAGGTGCTTGCAGAGTAGGGGAAGCTGCTGCTGCTGTGCGCAACGTGCTTCTCCTAGCCTACAGCACCTTCAGCTTCCTTGCCTGCCTCACTGTCCCCAGTGCCAGGGGCTGTGCCTGTGTGGGGTAAGACAGGGGCACCTCCCAACTATTTATACTGAACTGTATGGCAAAAAAAAAAATTTCCCGGAACCTAACCCCCCCATTTACATTCATTCTTATGGGGAAATTGGATTCACTTAACATCGTTTCACTTTTAACTACAACGTTAAGAGAGAAATTATTGTATTTCCTTCTGTCCATTTTATCATGGCCCAGGGGGTTAAGGTGCTGGCCTAGGGTCAGGGAGTTCTGGGTTCAGTTACTAGCTCTGCCACAGAGTCCCTGTGTGACCGTGGCAAGCTGCTTAGTCTCTGTGCCTCAGTTTCCCCATTTATATAATGGGAAAACAGCACTGCCCTGCCTTATAGGGGCACTGTGAAAACAAATACATAGAAGATTGTGAGGTGCTCAGGCCTCTATTGCTGTAGTACCTAAGACAGATCATTTTCAATGTATTACTTTCAATTTCGTTCAGCCACCCCGCTAGCCCTTGAGAAAGGGAGTTAGAAAAAAATCAGTGATCACTGAAATGGGTTTTGGGAACAGCTTCTGCAAATTAAACATGTTTGGGGCTGCTCCACACTGAAATAAAAGGGGAGGTTTTGATTATAAAAATGTATGACACCAAACTGAAAGGAGTGGAGTCCAGTGGTCAGAGCAGGGACTGGGTTCTATTCCTGGCTCTGGGAGGAAAGAAGGGTCTAGTGGTTAGTGCCGGCAGGACTGGGATCATGGCTCCTGTGTGTAAGAAGGATGTGCAACCTCTGTGGCCCATTCACTCCTTGACCCTTTGCTAAGTTTCCCAACAAGGGAGCTAGAGAGTAGCAAAGGGGCTGCTGTTTTCCGATGCCCTGGCAGAGGTCTGACTGATATCCACCAACTAATCTCATGAATGCAGAACGGCCCTCAAACAGGAAGGCCTTTCAGTCACTACTGACCTAGATTGTAGCCAGTAACCCCTAGAGGGGAAAGGTCTCATTCTCCATCGGCCAACAGTCCTCCTGTCCTTCCATTGTGGGGCCAGAGCAGAGCTGGCGTCCCGAGAGGCAAAAGGGCCTGTATCCTATGAGCCAGCCAGTCCCCCTCACCACGTTGACATCCCTGCCACAGTGACACCTCCACAGATTCTTCCAGTCCACCAACCAGCTCAGTATTGAGGCTGGGGTTTCCAAGACAGCGTAAGCGAGGTGGTAGCCAAATACTATTGAATTTCACTCCCTTATGCTCCTCTGGAAACCCCAAGCATTTGACGGAGATCCACCAGACCATCAATGTGAACGTCCTCGCATTCGCGATTTTAGAGCCCTCAGTCCAGTCCCTCGACAGCTCCCCTCTTCCCAAACTAAAATTAGTGTGTGAACGTCATTCTGAAGTCCTGCCTCCCTCTGGGGGGCTCCAGCGGCTGATCCGACCTGGTCTCCACTTCTGGGCACCTGTGGGATTGTTCCCTCTAGGATGGCGCACTCAATTAGCAGGGGCTGTCAGGGAAGGATTTGATTGCCTCGCTCTCCAACAATCACCTAGGGTGGAGTGAATTTTCTTAGGTTCCCTTCACATCAACAGATCAATCAGAGCGCTGGAGGCCTAGGAATTGCCAGACTGGACTGGTAAAAGCATTTGAAGGCTGGCGTGTTGTGAGGTATCAGAACAGTAGTAGGAAGACAGAGCCTGAAGCTTGAGCATGGGGGAAGACCTGTGGCCTTAACCAAAGTCAGGAAAAGGTTCGCTATGAGCAAAAGTCTGACAAAAAACAGGTGCTTGCCGGCAAGTTCACTGTCTGTTACATAAACTTGGCACAAGTATGGATGGCGTTGCTAAAACACTCTGAATATGTAAACACATTCCAGCAGGCCAGCACAGGGACACCCCAGCCTGGCGCGAGATGGTTTGACAGAAGTGATGAATGGGGGCGTATTGTCTGGAACATGAGGAATAAAGTACAAAGACGGGTGGTGAAGAGGGATGTTTTGTCTGAAGCAGGAGGAGAAAGGTACAAGGGGAGGTAACAAACATGTCATGAAACGGGTAAGGTGACACCCAAGTTGTTTATCCCAGATTGTCTGTCTCAATCTATAAACACTGAGGTACCTTGCCGTAACCCTTTGGCGGTGGAAAGCCCTGCCACTGATAAGCTGGTCCATTGTCACGGGCATACATGGACTAATGTTCCTCTAAGACGTGTGGAGAGCTAGCACCCTGCGTTGTTGGCAATAAACCTGGCCGAGTGCCTTCACCACTAAATCAAGTCTGTGGTCTTTCCGGGCAGTTCGCTGGAGATCTGCTGTGCCTTCTACCTGGCCAGAGCCGGTACCTAGCACACACAGAGAACACACACGCAGCCAACAACTGACAATGTTGGTGACCCCGACTGCTGATTTGGTAAGTAGGCGAGCTTCCCACTGTAGGAATTGTGGTCTAACATGGCAGAAAACCCCGAGTTAGGGAATCCCCTTATCCTCTCCGTAGCAGGACGGTCACCCTGCTCCGGCTCGGAAAGGGTTAAAAGCCAGCTCTTAGAGAGGGCTGGGGCTGAAAGCAGCGAGGGAGGCTGATTGGGTTGGCAGGAGGCTGTTTGGGTTGGCAGCCGCAGGTGTGGCCACAGCCGATTAGGGTCCAGCTGGCCCTGATAAAAGGGCTGGGAGCCGCGTAGAGGGAGTCTCACTCCAGTGGTGGAGTGGGAAGGACCTGGCTACTAGCTAGAGAAGTGTATCTCAAACAGAGCCGTGCTGGAGAAGGACAGGCAGAGCTGGGGAACACTGGCCAGTCGAGGCCCCAAGGCCTGTGGGGGTACTGAGGCTGCAGTGGTGCAGCCAGGCCAGGAAAAGGTAGCAGGTCCAAACCCCCTTGCCCATGATGAGTGGCCATTTCAGCCTACAATTTGCCCCTGAGAAAAGGAGCTAGATGAAGACTGGCAGTCGGTCTCTGAGGCAAGGTGGGCTTAGGGGGTGTGACGTTATAAGTGTAATAGAATATCTCACTGAAAGGTGACAGGCCCAGAAAGAGTTAATTAACTCACAAACTGACCTGACTCGTGGCTGAACTTTAAAGACTGGTTAGGAAGATATGTAAATGAATAGAGCTTGGAAATGCAAGTCTGCATTGTTAGAGATAAAAGGGTAGATGTTTGTTCAGGTCTTGTGATGTAAGCAACCAAGTCTTGTCTATGGCTATAGCTTTGATTCAAAGATCAAAAGAGGAATATTAACATTTAGGAAGACACTGGAGGGCAATAGTATTATTGTCTATTTGTCTCTTTGAAGGTTGTGGTAACCTGTATCTGAACTGTTTAATGGATGAATTATCCTGTGCTAATTACCATGATGTTTAGGAGAAGGGAAGTTAAGCCTACTGTTTTCTCAGGCCAAGAGGCTGCTGGAAATGTATAAAAACCCTGGGACAGGATCCTTCTTCATCTCAGATCTGCTTTGGGTTTCAAGAAGGGGAAACCTTAAACCATAAGGATTGAGATCCCCAGTCACTGACTGGAGTCACCCTGAATATGGACACTGGACTATAACCTATAGACTATTTCCAAAAGGACTTCTGGCAACTACAAGCTCATCTCTGCTCTGTATCTGAACCGCAAGAATTGAATTCAAGTCTGTAGGTATATTGATCTCTTAACCAACACTCTCTCTTTTCTTTTTTAATAAATTTTAGTTAACGAGAATTGACTATAAGCGTGTATTTTGGATAAAATCTAAGTTATAATTGGACCTGGATGTGTGGCCGATCCTTTGGGATTGGAAGAACC